TTTTTTTGGCATGTAATTAGATGTTTAAATCCCATATGCTCTGATTAGATTTTTTTAAAATACTTGATTGTATTTATGTAAATTATTAAGTTTTTTTAATTTGAGTTTGAATTTCTGTAACTATTTTTATTTAAGGGTCCACTATTTTGATATAAATAAATGATTAAATTTTCAACTACTTTTTAAAATATCAATGATTTGAAAAGTCAATGTGACACATTGGATTCGGATCCGGGTCAGATACGGGTTGGGGGTGTTACACGACAAGCTTAAGAAATTGAACTGACATACCCATGAACATAATTATAATATGTATCATTGAGTTGTTCCTCTAAATCAATTGGTTAAATGCCCCGGATTTATAAATAGATTTAGCTATCCAGTTAAAGGCAATTATAATATATATATACACACACACACACAATAAAGCTGAATTCAGCTAGCCAAACAATGACAAATTAAATCAAATTTATTAAATAAGGGGTTTTAATAAAATGGACTAAAAAAGTCGAGGAACACCTGTTATAGTCGACCTCACACAAGCACTCAAGAATTTTATAGTTAGATTGATATTTTCAACATTGCCTCTACTAAAGGAGTTTGCAAAACTTAAACAAATGATAGATTTCAGAGAACTGAAATGGGAAGTGTTCCAAAAAGTCTAGCAGTTGAGGGTACTAATTGCTTTATTTTTTCTGCTTCCAGTTAATATGTTAAGTCGAGAAACAGGGGCATGTCCCAAGATTCACATGGGAATATAAACAAATAAGGATATCTCGATAATTGAAACCTTAGAAAATATGAAGCCAACCTGAAGTTAACCCACCAATTCTGACACTTGTCAAAGGAGTATAATTGTGAAAATTTAAATAATGATTGCTTTTTTTTATATTATGTGAACTCATGTTTATGACTTGCTTCAATTGTGAGTCTGAATTAAGGGGTAATACTTTACAAAATTCTTTTATTCTTTTACTTCTAAAATAAAAGAAAGGAGAAAAATATTTTGAAACAGGACAATCACAAGTGAACAAGATCCTTGAAGCTAGTGAGTCTTATTCTGCCTCTATTGGAGAAAGAATAAATGATGCCAGAATAATGAAGCATTCCATAATCCATAGCAAATAGTCCGAGAAATCAAAAAGACTGAGGGATAGGACTTGTAACACTTCCTTGTGACATCATCAATAACCGAACAAGAAGCAGACGACCGCATTAATAAAAAGAGAGCAAGTATTGTTTTGAGATTTTTCAGTATCTCAAGTCATAAAAAATGTTCAGGGCATTCATGTACTAAATATATTGATCACTTGTTTGAGCAAGTTTAAAATAAGAAGTTTTGATAATGATGTCTCAAAAGCTTCATGAGTACCCATATTGGGGGCATAACCAAACACCTAGATAATTTTGAGATGATAATTTTCGATTCTAGAAGACATCTGAAGCTAAGGGAGGATTCAAGTTGAAAACCTGAAAGGGTAACTCAAATATTAAATTAAGCAACTACGACATAAGTGACGATCTTACGAATCTCTTGATGAAGTATCCCACATCCCCAAATGTGCTCCCAATAGTTTAGAACTGGTGAGTATCTCTAGAAAATGAACATAACAATCACTTCCTCAAGTCAGTGGTCACTAAAAAACCAGATGAGCTATAATAAAAGGTCAACCTAAGAGACCCTACCTTTCTAAAATCAACTCACACCTTAAATTTGTCACTAATATTGACACTTGTCAAAGGGTTATAATGCTTGAAGAGTCAAAAGAGCAATTGATTTGTTTGATACTCAAAGAAATCTTGTTTTATAATTTGTTTCAATTGCGAGTCATTGCATGGGGCACCAGTTTTCAAAAATTCTTCATCAAACGTTTTCATATTTTGAAAAATTGAAAGAGAAAGAAAAACTTTCTCAAACAGGACAATCTCTCGAGAATGAAGGAGATCTTTGAAGAAGTTGAGATTTGTTCTACCTCAAGAGCCAAGGCGAGAAAAATAAAAGGCATAGGAAAAATGAAGACATTCTTCGTTTTCTTTTGAAGCAATGAAGTTTGAAATTGTTGAAAACATTTTGATGTTTCGATATAACAAATTAAGTTTAAATGAATTTTAATATTTTACAAATGATTTTCTAAGTACATTCGCTTTAATTAATCGACTATCAGATTATTACTCAAAGTCTTTCAAGTTCAAATTCAAACCTTACTAAATGTGTAAAATTGTGTTTTATACTTAAACTATTTTTGAAACAATTTTCACAAAGTATTTTGAACCAAAATCAAGCCTAAAATCAAATTTCCAAAATGATGCACCGATGCACCAATCCATGCATCGATGCACCAATTAATTTTTCAAACATCAAATGCATTTTATACATCGATGCACATACCATGCATCGATGCACTTAGGCTTTTTCAAAACATCGAATGCATTTTATGCATCGATGCACTCTTAGTGCATCGATGCACTGAGAGTCCAACGGTCAAAATATTTGAATTTTACACTGATGCACCTAGGGTATGCATCGATGCACTGACGCTCCCAACTGCTTTAATTAATTGTTTTCACACTTAAACGGCTCTATTGACTCCACTAATCATCCCAACGTTTAGAATCATCCCCAACGTTCAGAATCATTTGAAGGTGTATTTAAACAAGCTTAGAAGCCATTGATCAATAACAAGAAACAACAAGCAACTAGAATCAAGAGAGAATCAAAGAGAAAGCATCAAACCTCAAGTTTGAGCATTTCAAGTCTATTTTTCATTCAATATTCATTTTGCTTTCAAGAACAGTACTTGTACTCAATTGTATTCATTTTTTAGTGTTCTTTATTTGTTCTAGAATTGTGCAAACAATCTACCTTGTGAGGATTTCCTTGTAAGTTTGCAAATTTGTAATCTTCTCTTTGAGAAAGAGTGTTCTCAAGAATTGGGGTATATTCTTGAGGGAGTTGTAAGGTTATCTCTTTGGCCTCAAAAGAAAGAACAAATTAGTGAATTTGTTGGAAAATCCTTAGTGTGGATAGCTAAGGTAGTGGACTTAGACTTTGGTTGATAAAGTCGAACCACTCTAAATCGTTGTGCAATTTCTTTCAATTTTCTGCAAAAGCTTTCACCAAAATTTTAATTGCTAATTCACCACCCTCTTGGCCGATTCCATCGATCGATTAACTCAAAAATTGGTATCAGAGCCTTACTCATTTGAAGGTTTAATCACCTCTTGAGTCGATTCAGGAAGAGTTACATCGATTATCAAGTCATCAATGGCCTCTACTTCAAATGTCGACTCCAGTCTCGATTCGATGCCCGTCAACAAGCCTCCTTTCTTCAATGGAGCTAACTATTCCTATTGGAAGAATAGGATAATGTATTTCATTCAAGCAAGTGACATGAGAGCATGGAATGTTGTAGAAGACAGATATATCAAGCCTCTCACTCATCCAAGATTGTGGAGTGAATGAGAGACAAGAATGTTCCAGCTCAACTTCAAAGCAATCCATATCATATTTTATGCTCTTAGACCAGATGAATATGGAAGAGTTTCATCTTGTACAACCGTCAAAGAAATATGGGATAAACTACAAGTCACTCATGAAGGCACCGACGAGGTAAAAAATCTAAAATTAGTCTTCTAACACATAGCTATGAAAATTTCAGGATGAAACCAAATGAAGATATCAAAGCTATGACGGATAGATTCTCAACAATTGTCAATGGTCTCAAATCATATGGAGAGATCATTCCAAACGAAAAGCTTGTGAGGAAGTTAGTTTACTCACTTCCAAAATCATGACAATCCAAGAAGACTACAATCATCGAGGCTAAGAACCTAAAGTCCTTAACTCTTGAAGAGCTAATCGGTTCCCTCCTCACTCATGAAATGATGCTTGAATATGAGGTGGACCTCGATAAGATTGACGAGACACCAAAGGATAAGGAGAAGAAGAAAAACATTGGTGTTGCTCTCAAATCCACAAAAGATGAGAGTGATTCGGATGAAGATGACGATGACGAGGAAATGGCATTGTTTGTCAAACGGTTCAGAAAAATGATGAGACCTTACCGAGGAAGAAAATTCAAACGAAATGAAGGCCTCAAAAATGAGCCAAAAGAGAAGGACCCTATCATTTACTATGAATGCAAAAAGCCAGGGCATGTCAAATATGATTGCCCACAATTAAAAAGAAAGGGTCAATCAAATAATAAGGCTCATGTGGCTATATGGAGCGATGAAGAGGGTTCCGATGAAGAGGAACAAGAAGTAGCAAACTTGTGCTTGATGGCATTTAGGGAAGATTCTAAGGTAACCTCTAACTCATCTGAATTTGATGATTTATCTTATGATGAGCTATTAGAGGAATATAATGGGTTGACTTCGGATTATGAGAAATTATTTTTAAAATATAAAAATGTTGTTTCAAAATTGAAAAATGAAAATAAACTCATATCCAAAACCAACAACGATCTTGAAAGTAAAATCAAAGATTTGCGAACAAAACGTTTTGAAAATGGAGAAAATTCAAAATCCAACTTTGTTATAAAAAGTTTTAAAAACTACAATCATAGAGGTCCCCGAAGAACCTCTAATGGAAAAATCATTAGAAGTATATGGGTTCCTAAAGGACTCATTACTACTAAAGATAAAGATATCATACACAAATGGATACCTAAGGGGACTAGGATTTTGGAAACTAACGAATATGGACCCAGAAGAATTTGGGTACCAAAAATTAGAAATTAATCTATGTTTGTAGGAAAATGAGCATTGCTACAAGGCACGGGAAACAAATTCAAATTCATGATACCTTGATAGTGGATGCTCAAGACACATGACCGGAGACAAAAATCGGTTCACAGAGCTTAACGCCAAAAATGGAGGAGAAGTGACTTTTGGTGATAATTAAAAAGGTCACATCGAAGGTATAGGTACTATAGGTAATACCTCTTCTATACAAATTAAAAATGTTTTATATGTGAATGGATTAAAGTATAATCTCTTAAGTATTAGTCAATTATGTGATAAAGGATTCAATGTCATATTTGAAACAAATAGTTGTAAAGTTATTGACATTGCATCTAATCGAATTATGCTTGTTGGTCATAGAATAGGAAACATATACATGGTGCATTTAGACTCTATTGATATGACTAATTTATTCCTAGTTGCTAAGGATGAGCATGATAGTTGGTTATGGCATAGAAGACTAGGACATGCTAGTATGAGTGTTTTGCAACGGCTAATTCAAGGTGATTTAGTTCGAGAGTTGCCTAAACTAAAATTTGATAATGATAAAATCTGTGATGCTTGTGCTAAAGGAAAACAAAAGCGAGTTTCTTTTAAATCTATTAATGATGTATCAACTAGTAGAGTATTACAATTGATCCATATAGATCTTTTTGGGCCAACTAGGACTATTAGCTTGGGTGGAAAACAATATGCATTTTTCTTGGTAGATGACTGTTCTAGATATACTTGGGTTCTATTCTTAAGTACTAAAGATGAAGCATTAGAAAAATTCATCACGTTTTCAAAAGTAATCCAAAACGAAAAATGTTACTCTATGACTAGTGTTTGGAGTGATCATGGAACTGAATTTGAAAATCTTGGATTTACTGAATTTTGTAATTCTAATGGTATTAGCCATAATTTTTCAGCACCTAGAACCCCTCAACAAAATGGAGTTGTTGAGAGGAAAAATCGAACTTTAGAAGAAATGGCTAGAACCATGCTTTGTGAAAACAATTTGCTAAAATATTTTTGGGCAGAAGTCACAAATATCGCTTGTTATGTTATTAATCGAGTAATGATTAGGCCTATTTTAAAGAAAACTCCATATGAACTTTTCAAAAATAAAAAGCCTAACATTAGCTATTTTCATCCTTTTGGATATACATGTTTTGTTTTAAACAACGGTAAGGATAATCTTGGCAAATTTGATGCTAAAAGTGATGAAGGAATTTTTCTGGGTTATTCCTTAAATTCTAAAGCTTATCGAGTATTTAATAAAAGAACTTTAGTTGTAGAAGAGTTTATACATGTTGTTTTCGATGATAACCTCCTTCCGAAGAAGGATTCTTGTGTGAATGATGATGTAGGTATTATAAATACAAATGACGTTAGACATGATGATGGAGAACCATAATCAAAGGAAGAAATGAAAAATGAGGAAACTCATGATCCTCTCGAGAATCCAACCATTGAAGAAAGAGAAGTCTCTTACCTAAGGGAATATAACTATGTCAAGGATGGTGAGATTATAGGTGATCCATCCAAAGGGGTAACAACTCGATCCTCACTTAGAAATATTTGTAATTATGTGGCATTTATCTCATGCATTGAACCTAAGAATATTAAAGAAGCATTAAAAGATGAACATTGGATTATGGCTATGCAAGAAGAGTTAAATCAATTTCAGAGAAGTAAAGTATGGACATTAGTTGAAAGGTCTAGTAATAAATCTACTGTAGGTACTAGATGGGTGTTTAGGAATAAGCTTGATGAAAGTGGTAATATAGTGAGAAACAAGGCTAGACTTGTTTCTCAAGGCTATACTCAAGAAGAGGGCATAGATTATGATGAAACATACACTCCCGTAGCTAGGATGGAAGCAATTAGAATGTTATTAGCATTTGCATGTTTTCATGAATTTAAATTATATCAAATGGATGTTAAAAGTGCATTTTTAAATGGTTTTATAAAGGAAGTGTATGTGGAACAACCTCCAGGTTTTGAAGATTTAAAATTTCCAAATCATATTCTTAAATTAAGAAAATCTCTTTATGGTTTAAAATAAGCTCCTAGAGCTTGGTATGAAAGATTGTCAAATTTTTAATTGAAAAAGGTTTTTCAAAAAGGAAGGTTGACACTACATTGTTTTTAAAGCATAAAGGTAAAGATTTATTAGTAGTTCAAATTTATGTTGATGATATAATATTTGGTTCTACTAATGATGTTCTTTGCCAAGAATTTTCTAAGCTAATGCAAAGTGAATTCGAGATGAGCATGATGGGGGAGCTCTCATTTTTCTTGGGACTCCAAATCAAGCAAAGAAAAGATGGCATCTTCATCAATCAAGCTAAGTACGTCAAAGATATGCTCAAGAAGTTTGGACTGGAAAATGGGAAGCCACATAACACTCCAATGAGCTCATCGACAAAGCTTGACATAGATGAACGAGGTAAATATGTGGATTTTAAATTATATAGGTCAATGATTAGTTCTTTGCTTTATCTAACTGCAAGTAGACCAGACATTATGTTTAGTGTTTGCTTATGTGCTAGATTTCAATCATGCCCCTAAGTAATCACATTTACTAGCTGTTAAGAGGATCTTTAGATACCTTAAGGACACTCCTAGTTTAGGACTTTGGTATCCTAGAGACTCTAGCTTTAGCTTGCATGCCTTCTCTGATACGGATTATGAATGATACTGTAACAACCCGATTTTCAAAATAAAATTTAATTAAAATTGGAGGGTTTAATTGTGAAAATTTGGCGAAAATTTGGGACTGAATTGAAAGATTTTAAAACTTGGAGCTTGTTTTAAAGTTAAAGAAAATTCAGGGACCAAGCCCTGAATTTAACCATGGAGTGTCGACAGACAATTGTTATATGCTTGATTTCTGTTTTGAAAAACAGAAATCAATTTCACAAATCCTTCCTCACGCACACAACTTCCAAACTCGATTCCGACGCCGTCTGAATTCCAATCGTTGTTTTGAAACCACCGTTGTGTTCATCATCGAGCGAGGAGCAAACCCTTCAAATTAATTGAAGCGAAACGCGGCCAAACGTCGGGAATTTCCAGTCAAAGTAGCGACGGTTTTGTTAGCTCTATCGCCGAGAAAATCTTAAATTCACCGCTGATCGTTGCTCTGTTTACGACACCTCCCGCACCATCGTGTTCCTTGTGCCGTTCCGAGTTCACCGGTGTCAATCTTGTCCGCCGTAGACGGCGGCGCGTGAGGAGGTGGTGCAGTCAAAGATTCGGCCGATTTGAAATCGAGCTCTCCGCCGTTCAAAAATTTGAACCGATCGTTGTAAGTATCTCGAAATCGCTCAAAATAATTTTTAGAAATTTATTCGGGATTTTTAGGGCCCCGGAGGACGCCTCACGCGCCACACGCGCCGCCGCAGGGCGAGTGGCTGCTGGAAACCGGTTTAACCGGTTCTGACCGGTTTGATCGGTCTGAACCGGTTTGACCGGTCTGAGCCGGTTTGACCGGTCTGACCCGACCCGACCGTTGACCCGACCCGACCCGACCGTTGACCCGACCCGACCGTTGATCGTTGACCGTTGACTTTCTTTGACCAAAACTTAAAATGGCTTTGACCGAGCATTAAACGACCGTTAATCTTTTCCGAGTATACCTATCCTGATAGTTTTCGACGTGCCAAATCCGTTTCCGTGGTCCGTTTTGTCAAATTCGAATCCGAAGGTCTCCAAATCTATGGTCAAAGTGGTTGACTTTGACTTTGACCAAGAATCTGAATTTTCAAAAAGTCATACTTTATGTTTTTCGACGTCCTGATTCCGATTCCGCAATCCGTTTGGCCAAATTCAGACTCGAAATACCCCAAAATGATAGTCAAACCCAAAAAATGCTTATATACTTAAGAATTCTAGCTTTGAACAATTAAGTAAGATTTGGGGCTGATTAATTATTATTGTTTGAAGGTACAAGAGACTCTCCGGATCGTTCGATAGCTCGACCCAACTCTTCTAGATCAGTTAAACCACGTATACCAGTATTCACTCGTAAGACTCGTAAATTTTATGATTTTAGAGATTTATTTATGTTACCCATTAGTAATATAGTGATATTATAAATTAGGTTCGAAAACTGTAGCAGAGCGTGGTGAAACCAGCAATCAGTAGATCCACGATTTGAACATATTATCGAGGTGTGTTCCCTATTTATTACTGAACTGTTTTATTTGTTTTAATATGTGGTACACTGAATTCTTTGGTTTTCGTATTGTTGATGCACCGATTGAATGTGATGATTTATGGATTATGACTGTTATCTGATAATTGTTTTGAAATGGTATATGATTACCATGTTTATGGATTTATGGAATTTATAACACGGTGCAATTGAATTTTTGGAATACGAATTTATAAAGTACAGCTCTGATCAAGCTGGAAAATTTTACAGACCTAATGTGACTCTTAGGTAGGCTCTGCGGCCCTGAGATTATTCTCGGGTAGGCCCTGCGGCCCTAAGATGTGTTCTTAGATAGGCCCCACGGCCCCGAAATCTATCTTGGGTAGGCTCTCAGGCCCTAAGATGTTCCCTTAGGGTAACGTTTTTTTTTAAAGAGATTTACTGCAGTATAATTTTATGAGACTTATTGGACTATGATTTGTTTAGTGTACCTATAGTGATTTTATGGTAATATTGGGACACACTGAGCCTAGCTCATTTTTCGAAAATATTTTTCCCCTTTCAGATACTGTTGGTTAGATACCCTGGATTGAGCACTTGGAGGATCAACATATCTCTTGAAGTATATCTGATTGTAATGTTTTTACCTTGCAAGTTGACTTTATTTTGTTGACATGGACCTTATTTTAAAGTATGGGATTTTAATATGATGACACTTTTGCTATTACTATTCGGGTTATCGTGATTTGATTTTTTTTTTTAAGATATGTTTTAAATTAATTTATTACTTATTGATATTATATTTACAAGTTGGGTTTTGATAGTATGATTTATTATAATTTCATGTCATTTATAATGTGATTTTACATTGATTTAATAACGGTTTCGGAAAAATGTCTTTAAGAATCATAATGTGATCCACTAGACTTAGTCGAACGCATAGGCCTGGTCTAGGGGGTTACATTTATTGGTATCAGAGCTTTTGGTTTTTAACCCTCGGACTGTGTATGAGTCCACATGGAAGATACGATTTTGAAATATTTTACAAAACAAGATACAAAGGTCATGTCACAAAGTTATTAAAATTTTTAACTGTGTTCGAGACTCCAAGTGCTTATCTAACCCTAAGTTTTATCTTCTGTAGTAAACTTGAGATCCATAAAAATGAGTGCTAGACGTGGTCGTCGAACTAGCCGTGGACGAGGTCGAGTGGCTAGATTTGCAGATCCGATCGATGAGATACGAGTAGATCCCCCACCTCCGATAGGTGATCCTGCTCCTACGACCCCAACGAATCTGCCTCCTACCGATGGTATTGGCATGACTACACCGATCATAGGAGCGAAAGATATTGAGTCAGAATCTACCGGAGTTGCTTTGGATGAGACTTTTGGTAGACAATTTCTGGAGTTGATACAGGGAGCAATCAGAGCTGCTGGTGTTGTATCTGAGGTTCCTATTTCACAGACTCTAATTGCTAATGGGGTCAGGACTTTTGGAGGACAGCTTGGAGGAATTCCTACTGAAGCAGAAGATTGGCTACAGGATACAGAAAGACGCATGGATCAGTTGGGTTTGGACTCAGCAAAGAGATATTTGGGGGCAGTAGCGATGTTAGATGGAAATGCCCACACATGGTGGGAGTCAGTGACCAGTAGTGTTTCTACTGATCGTTTGACATGGGATTTCTTCAAGGAGCGCTTTCGGAGCCGATTCTTGGGTGAGCGCTACTTAGTCTAGAGACGACAGCAGTTTCAGGACTTGGTTCAGGATGACATGACTGTTTCAGAGTATGAGATAGAGTTCTTGAAATTGTTAAAGTATGGAATCAGTCTGGTGTCTACCGAAAGAGATCGATGTCGTAAATTTGCCTTTGGACTCAGATACGAGCTACGTAGGCAGGTGGTAGCCCTTCAAGATGAGATTTTTGATGTGCTGGTAAGCAGAGCCAAGGATGCTGAGGAGATGGAGGCGTTAGCTTCTGGTAGAGAGCGTGTTGATCAGGAGCGATCTAGGAAATCTTTTGGCCCTACTGAATCATCCGCACATTCCGGTAAGAGGACTCGTACTTCAGCCCCTCAGAGGAGCAATACACGCTTCAGGCCTACTGTATCATCACCTTCAGCTGTTAGTAGAGGTGGTTCTTCGGTTCCGATTCTAGTGCCTCAGTGTGACTTTTGTGGGAAACGGCACACGGGAGAGTGTTATAGGAAGACCGGAGCATGTTTTCATTGTGAATCTAGTGGACATTTTCGGAGGGATTGTCCTCAGCTAGCTTTGTCTGAGCGGATCGCTACCCAGACTCCTGTGCGTTCTCAGACTACAGTACATACTCCAATTAGAGATCGTAGCTAAGTAAAGGCTCGTGGTTCAGCGTCCAGGACAGACAGTAGAGCTCGACCTCAGCAAAATAGAGGGCCAACAGTTTCTGAGGCTAGACAGCCAGCCTTGGTTTATGCCACTAGACGTCGGGATGACAGAGATGAGCCTGAGGTTATTGCAGGTACATTTACTATTTATTCTATCCCATACTTTGCATTACTGGACAATGGCTCCACTCACTCCTATGTATCGAGCTCAGTATCTCGAAACCTTCAGATTCCGATAGAGAACGCTGAAAATACTGTTACAGTTACGAGTCCAGTAGGACAAGCGGTATTAGTGAATAAAGTATTTCGGCGTTGCCCTCTCGAGGTTCAGGGAGAAATTTTTCTCGCTGATCTTATGGAGCTTCCTTTAGAGGAGTTCGATCTAATTCTTGGAATGGATTGGTTGAATAAACACAAGGTAAAGCTGGATTGTGAATACAAGCGGGCTACTCTGAAGACTTCAGATGGTTGGACTGTCGTGTTAATTGGTGAACGGCGTGGCTATCTCTCCAATATAGTTTCAGCGATGGAAATTGATCGTATGATCCGGAAGGGATATGAGACCTTCATTGCTTGTATTTTGAACACCAAAGGTGCATTGTCCACGATCGAGGAGATTCGTACAGTTAGCGAGTTTCCTGATGTTTTTCCGGAGGAGTTGCCTGGGTTACCTCCTGATAGAGAGGTAGAGTTCGAGATTGAGACTTATCTGGGATCTTCACCTATTTCTATGGCACCTTATCGTATGGCTCCAAAGGAACTTAAGGAGTTGAAAGTCCAATTGCAAGAATTATTCGATCGAGGATTTATCCGACATAGTACTTCACCATGGGGAGCTCCAGTTCTATTCGTGAAAAAGAAGGATGGGTCGCTAAGATTATGTATTGACTATCGGAAATTGAACAAGATGACGGTCAAGAATAAATACCCATTACCCAGGATTGATGACTTATTTGATCAATTGCGAGGAGCTACTGTATTCTCTAAGATTGATCTTCGTTCGGGGTATTATCAATTGAAAGTTAAAGGATCTGATGTTGCAAAAACGGGCATTCGCACTAGATATGGTCATTATGAATTTTTAGTGATGCCTTTTGGTTTGACGAACGCTCCTGCAGCTTTTATGGATTTGATGAATCGGGTGTTCCGACCATATTTGGATCAATTTGTGGTGGTCTTCATTGACGATATTCTGATCTATTCTCGTACTGAGGCAGAGCATGACGAGCATTTGAAGATCGTTCTGCGGACTTTGAGAGAGCATCGTCTATATGCCAAACTAAGCAAGTGTGAGTTTTGGCTTCAAGAAGTGTCATTTCTGGGGCATATTATTTCTGCGCGAGGTGTTCAGGTTGATCCCAGCAAGATAGAGGCTATTATGAATTGGAAACGACCTAAGAACGTATCTGAAATCCGTAGTTTCTTGGGCTTGGCTGGTTATAATCGACGTTTTGTTGAGGGCTTCTCGATCATTGCTTCTCCTTTGACAAAGTTGTTAAGGAAGAATGTGTTGTTTGACTGGGGCGAGGCACAACAGGAGAGCTTTGAGAAATTAAAGGCGGTTTTGACTCAAGCACCGGTGTTGATTCAACCGGAGTCCGGGAAGGATTTTACAGTGTATAGTGATGCTTCACATTCAGGACTTGTTGTGTTTTAATGCAGGAAAGTAAGGTGGTGGCTTATGCATCCCGTCAGCTGCGGCCGCATGAGAGTAATTATCCTACTCACGATTTAGAGTTGGCAGCAGTAATTTTTGCCTTGAAGATTTGGAGACACTATCTTTATGGAGAGAAGTGTTACATTTTCACAGATCATAAGAGCTTAAAGTATCTTCTGACCCAGAAGGAACTTAATTTGAGACAGCGTCGCTGGTTAGAGCTTCTAAAGGATTATGATTGCGTGATTGATTACCACCCTGGTAAAGCTAACATTGTAGCAGATGCTTTGAGTCGAAAGACGGTATCGGAGTTGAGGTCTTTAATGGCCAAGATGAATTTATATGACGATGGCACTTTGTTAGCAGAATTGCAAGTTAAGCCGACCTTGGTTGATGAGATCAAAGCTAAGCAGCCCCTTGATAGCTCCTTGCTTTCCATCTTTGAGCAAGTAGAGCAGGGGACAAACACAGATTACGCAATTGATCAGGATGAAGTTTTATGCTTTAAAGGTAGATATTGTGTGCCTGATGATGCTGAATTGAGGCAGACTATCCTTACTGAGGCTCATAGTAGTCCATATGCTATGCACCCCGGAGGAGATAAGATGTACCAGAATTTGAGAGAGAGGTATTATTGGATTGGTATGAAGAAAGACATATCTGACTTTGTGGCTAGGTGTTTGACTTGTCAGCAAGTTAAGGCAGAACATCAACATCCATCAGGTTTGTTACAGCCTATCAAGATTCCTGAATGGAAATGGGAGCGTATTACTATGGATTTTGTTACTGGCTTGCCTATGACTCCTTTGAAAAAAGATTCAGTTTGGGTGATTGTTGACAGACTTACAAAGTCAGCTCACTTCATTCCTGTGCGAGTAAATTATACTTTGGATAAGCTGGCAAGATTGTATATTTCAGAGATTGTCAGATTGCATGGTGTTCCATTGTCTATTATTTCTGATCGAGATCTGAGATTTACTTCGAGATTTTGGAAGGCGTTACATACGGCTTTGGGAACAAGATTGGATTATAGTACATCCTTTCATCCATAAACTGATGGTCAATCTGAGAGAGTAATTCAGATTCTATAGTATATGTTGCGGGGTTGCGTAATCGATTTTCATGGTAGTTGGGAGAACTTTTTGCCGTTGGCTGAATTTGCTTACAATAACAGTTATCAGACCAGTATTCGTATGGAACCCTATGAAGCGCTCTATGGGCGTAAATGTCGCACTCCGATCTGTTGGACTGAGTTGCGTGATAGGAAAACGTTGGGACTTGAGTTAGTGCGAGAGACGGAGGACACAGTCAGATTAATCCGTGACCGTCTGAAAGAGGCATTTGATAGGCAGAAATCATATGCAGATCAAAGAAGGAAGGATATACAGTTTGAAGTGGGAGATCGGGTCTTTTTGAAAGTTTCACCCTGGAAGAAAGTATTAAGATTCGGGCGTAAGGGTAAATTGAGTCCAAGATTTATTGGACCATTTCGTATCTTGAAGAGGGTAGGACCTGTTGCATATCAGCTTGAGTTGCCTTCTGAGCTAAGTCGTATTCATGATGTCTTTCATTTATCAATGTTGAGGAGATACCGTCCAGATCCAGGTCACACTATTCAGGTTGAAGAAGTAGAGCTGAGACCTGATTTGTCATATGAAGAGGAGCCCATTCAGATCTTGGAGAGAGATGAACGAGTTCTTCGGAATAGACGAATTCCAATGGTCAAAGTTCAGTGGAGGAATCAAGGCCCCTCAGAAGCTACTTGGGAGACATTGGAGTCAATGGAGGCTCAGTTTCCTCAACTATTCTCATAAGGTAAATTTCGAGGACGAAATTTCTTGTAGAGGGGGAGAATTGTAACAACCCGATTTTCAAAATAATATTTAATTAAAATTGGAGGGTTTAATTGTGAAAATTTGGCGAAAATTTGGGACTGAATTGAAAGATTTTAAAACTTGGAGCTTGTTTTAAAGTTAAAGAAAATTCAGGGACCAAGCCCTGAATTTAACCATGGAGTGTCGGCAGACAATTGTTATATGCGTGATTTCTGTTTTGAAAAACAGAAATCAATTTCACAAATCCTTCCTCACGCACACAACTTCCAAACTCGATTCCGACGCCGTCCGAATTTCGATCGTTGTTTTGAAACCACCGTTGTGTTCATCATCGAGCGAGGAGCAAACCCTTCAAATTAATTGAAGCGAAACGCGGCCAAACGTCGGGAATTTCCAGTCAAAGTAGCGACGGTTTTGTTAGCTCTATCGCCGAGAAAATCTTAAATTCATCGCTGATCGTTGCTCTGTTTACGACACCTCCCGCACCATCGTGTTCCTTGTGCCGTTCCGAGTTCACCGGTGTCAATCTTGTCCGCCGTAGACGGCGGCGCGTGAGGAGGTGGTGCAGTCAAAGATTCGACCGATTTGAAATCGAGCTCTCTGCCGTTCAAAAATTTGAACCGATCGTTGTAAGTATCTCGAAATCGCTCAAAATAATTTTTAGAAATTTTTTCGGGATTTTTAGGGCCCCGGAGGACGCCTCACGCGCCACACGCGCCTCCGCAGGGCGAGTGGCTGCTGGAAACCGGTTTAACCGGTTTTCAACCGGTTTGATCGGTTTCAACCGGTTCGAACCGGTTTGACCGGTCTGACCCGACCCGACCGTTGACCCGACCCGACCTGACCGTTGACCGTTGACTTTCTTTGACCAAAACTTAAAATGCTTTGACCGAGCATT